TACACGGCCGTTGCTTTTTTACTGCACAGTCCTTTTTTTTTTTTTTTTTTTTGGTCTTACCGTTTTTTTTTTAACTTTCTTCTTTGGTCTTACCGTTTTTTTTTTAATACAAATCGGGACGAGGCCTATTTCACGGTAGGACCCATCTGAGGGCTTATTGACAAGTCGGCGGGGTCGTACTGGGGATATTTTGACAACTAAGCGCTGCCAGAAAAAAAAGGACTTATAGTTGGAGGGGTGCTTTTTGTTGGGGACATCCACAATTTCGGCAAACGTTTTGGGCTTCTCGACAACTTTTCCCCTAAACTTTATTGAAATTGATTCAGAAGAAGTCAGGAGAACTCAATTGCAGCGAGTGCGAGGATCTGGGTCCTCGGCAGGCCTAAGGGCCCCCTGTTGCATCTGTGCCCGCTCTAAGTGAAGGCGGGCCTAACAAATCACGAAAGGCCCTCGGCCTTCAATTTCGTTTTTGGGGTCCAGGCAGTTTCGTCGCGCCAGTTGGTTGAGGAAAACACAGGCCGAGCAGCAAGACTTTCGACGGCCTTCCAGGCCTTTCCGAAATGATGCAGGCCCTGGACAAGAATGGCAGCCTCATACACAGACAGTTGGGAGGCCCAACCGAATGAGGCCCAGTAGCTGCAAGATAGGCGCAGCGTCCTGGGGCCTACCGGAAGCTTCTGGGCGCAGGCCAGTCCAGCCAGACTGCCGAATCAGCAGGCTCTTTCCATATAGGAAGGAGCTCGCTGCCTGGGCATTCATTCATTCGGGCACTCGCATGTTGGTGGCAGTGCTGCTGGAGCTGAAGCTCGTGGGCTGCTGTGAGCGCTGAGAGGCGAAGTGCAAGCACGTGCGGTCGTGCAAGGAGGAGGGCGCTGCTGAGGGCAGCGCCATAGCCCAGCCTCCATAGCTGGCGGGCTTGGATGTACAGTGAGGCGCAGGGGTGGTCTTCGGGTTTCAAGAGGGAAGACGTGGGAGAGAGAGAGAGAGAAGGATGATGATGATGATGATGTGAGGGCACATACCTGGTATTGGCGATGGTCTGCATGGGCGACATCTTCAAGTACTTCGGAGGCTGCTGACGTCAACAGTTGCATTGTCAATTAGTAGGCTAGTAGTAGCTGTGTAGGGAGTAGGCTGGGCGCCAAGCGCCAAGTAGGGAGATAGGGGCTGGATACATATGTTGGTGGTGGCGAGAGCAAGCTCTCATTGACATTGTTTTTCAGTGCTACGATTCTCCATTGGTGTCATATTGGTGCAATGCTGCTTTCTGAACTCTGTGATACGATCTGGCTTTCAATGTAATTATGCAATCTGAATATTGTCATCTCGCTATTGCTCATTTTCCTTGCACGAGTTTATGATGAAACTAATTGTAAATGTAAGCAAGGATTGAAATTCTGCTGTCCTTATCAAAGAAGTTTTGTCACTCCTTGCCACCAAACCCCAACTGCAATCTCTGATAATAGTATCATAATACACAGAGTGGCCTTTAACCATTCCCACTCTGTCACCCAACTCTCGGTTCCCGCATGCGTGCAGTGCGCACCACCACTTTCCAAAGATCTCATTCAGGAAGTGAAGTTGTTGAAGAGATTGTGAAGGCATTTGTTGGAGCTATGTTTGCATTTACAATCGGGGGGGCTTTGAGGGAGCTACCGCTTGCAGGCAATGACCATGCTACCTTATCATGATCCTGGCCTGCCATCATGTCCCCATCTGTAGAATCAATGGTATATACCATCATGAATCTGATCCTGAAAGCACGCCAGGTGGATGCTCAGCTAGCAGCACATAATTCTAGTTCTGTCAGTTTGGAGCTCAGCTGACCCTGTATGCGAAAGTTCTACCAGCTGTCTGGCTGACGTATTGTGCATCGGGGGGCTGTGTGGATGGATGATGCAGATAGTGATATAAGCATCAATGACAGAGCGGTTTCGCGACATCATGCAGATATTGTTGTGGGGCCTCTGGGTCCTCTGCCTGACCCTGCCGTCTCAGGAACGGCCGTGGATAGAACGAAAGCAATGGCGGATTGGATATCTATATGGCGGCCATCCATTAAGGTGAAGGATGTTTCGAAGTTTGGGACCCTAGTTTGTGACCGATCGGGCACAAAGAAGCAATCTGAGACTCCTGATAGATCTGCTGAGCTGAATGAAGGTGATTTGGTCGTATTTCTCCATTGCAAAGTGCATTTCAGGTGAGTTGGTAGAGTTCCCATGTTATTTGGCGGTGTTATGATTCTGGCTATTCCGAAGTGCAAATACACAACGAAAGACAATGGTCTGGAGCATTGTCTTCTTCTGCTAGGCCTGCCGCTACTCAAGGGCTATCCTAAGCTACGTGGCCTACATACTACCACTACTACTTGAGTGCTACCCGTCTTCACCCCGAATAGAACGCCCGGTCATTATATAGCTGTATTGGGGAAACTTTTAGTCCAGGTGCACAGCTATAATGACCGGGCGTTCTATTCGAGTGAAGAGGGTAGCCTACCCTACTTGAGCGTTTCCCCACTGCAACAACCCTCAAAGTCACGGCCACAGGTAAGTAGTACTGGCCCTGAGGGCCCCTCCCAAACATACAAGTACCCTGGCGGGTCACACACACACACTCAGGCAGACATGCACTCAGACAGGCACACGCGAACCAGCGAAAACACACACACACACAAACACACAGACTTAGAAATGTCAGCAGACAGCGAAAATCTCAGCCAGGCACACATTCCAGCGGCAAAACTCAGAAATCAGCACAGTTCTCAGGCTGTAATGATTTGCAGGTCATTACAGCGGCATGTAATTAGCATGCCTCAACGCACCGATCAATGAATAGTTTGGTGGGATGAGACTCGTGAGAGTCTTACGTCCCCTGTTGAACGATAGGTAGGGGGGGGAGGGGGTGGCGGACATCCACTCCGATTCCTGGGGTCGAGAATCCAGATAAATGGACTGGTTCGAGTGAATGGTTTGGGTCCGGAGCAGGGAAAGGGGGTTCTGTACAGGCCCGCAGCTATCTGGCTCTGCCAAGAGCAGAGACTGTTCTCTGGCAGAATAATGTGGAACCTAGAAATCCAATCGGACGTTCGAACCCCCACTACCTAGGTTGAATCGAATGATACCGTACAATGGGCCTCAGCGCACGGCACATGAAATGAGAAACGAAACGAGTGCATGTTCCCTGAGAAACAAATGGAGCGATTCATCGGTGTACTCTAATATAAATAGAAATGAATGCAAGGAAAAAACACAAGGAATGCGAACAAAAATAAAAGCCAAGTTGTGACATACAAACCAGGAGCAGGGGGAATGAGTAGCCAGGATTTAGGATTTTATGGTCAGGAAAGGAGATGTGGGACAGATTTTGGAATTGGAACCACAGGTTGGGGTCATAGGAGAATGAGGTGCAGGGGTTGTTCAAATGTTGTTGCTTCGTGCTCGGATCCCTGGGCGGGTCCCGTCAAAAGCATAACACTGGGTAAAGCTGCCAGTTCCGGTCTTTATGGGGTGGCCGGCCCCTTTTCTCTGAGTATGCGAAAAAGAAAAAAAGAAAGAAAAAAAAGAAAAAAAGAAAAGAAAAGAAAAAACTAGGCTACCAGCCAGGCCGCCCGGGTCACCCTGCTTTCCCCGGCGGCCCGGCCGTGCAAGGACCAGGGAAGGTCCCAGCCAAACAAAAAAAAAAAAAAAAAAAAAAAAAAACTCCCAAAACAACTTATGTTATGCAGAAAAATAAACTGAGCAACTTTTGCCTCAGGGTTACATCAAAATTCTTTACCAAATTTAAAATAGATCAGGGTTACCTGACCGAACGTTCGGGGGCCACCGTTCGGGGGCCAAACACCTCCAGGTTCGGCCCCCGCCAAAATTTTGTTCGGGGCCTAAAAATAAGTTTTTTTTTCTGATGTTTTTTTTTGTGAGTTCTCTATGATGTAACCTACACGCCTATAAATTTTGAAGACATTCTGCTAAGCCAAAAAAACATTAAAAATCGTCAAAGATGGGGGTGTCAAAACGTGCTCGCCCACTCACTATTTTGTTTTTTTTCACTTTTAACTTTTTGTTTTCACTTTATTGCGGGGCCTAAA